AGGACAGGAGACCTCTCCCCCAGGCAGGAGGCCTGCCGCAGGCTATCTACGAATGAGCAGGGAACAAAAGACCTCTCATTTTTCCTTGCTGGAAAGAGCCGCTAAACTCCAGGTCTCTTTCTCCCAGGAGGTTCCACTTAATGAACCTAGATGCCACCCGGCCAGGCATAAAATTGAACAGATATTTTCTCCCACAAGTCCAAATTCCCAGTCTACCCTTCCCCCTCGCATGGTGGTCTGAAGTTCTACCCCCTGGAGAGCACAGAGTGTTTGGTCTTGTCCTGAGAGATCTGGGCATAGTGTGGACCACCAACCATCAGGACAGAATCTGTGACTAACAGGAAAGAAAGAGGGTGTTGGAAGAAAGGGACACTCAGTGAGAGGAGAAGCAGTCCCCTGGTTATGACTATGCCTGGCCAGTGGTGGTGTTGACCCTTGGTTTGGGCTGTGTCTAGCGGGACGGGGTGCAGAACCCCCAGCTCTGACAGCACCCACAGCAGGAGAGTGTGTGTCTGGAGGAGACCTGTGTGGTCTGAGTTTGGCAGATAGGGCTGGTCCCCAGACACTGCTTGGCCTGCAGGCAGAGGCTTGCGAGGCAGGGACTGAGAACTGAGAGCAAGGGCGTGGTCCCTTGATTCCAACAGAACCCTCGATCAGTGGCTTTCTGGGTGTGAACCAAGACTTGAGGGCTAGGGTGTGGTTCCGGTGAGGACTGAGACCTGCGGGTGGAGTGCAGTGCCCTAACTCTAACAGAGCCTGTGAATAGAGGCTTGCCAGGCAGTGGACTGAGACCAGCAGGGGGGCAGAGTCCCCTGACTCCAACTGGTCTGGCAAGCAAAGGCTAGCTGGGTGTGGATTGAGACCAGTGGGCAGGGCATGGCCCCTGGCTCTAACTGGGCCTGTGAATGAGTCTAGTGGGTGGGAGTGTGGATCCCTGGCTCCAATTGTGCTGCTGGAGACCCTTGAACCCCTCTCTGTTGAGCAGGGTTTGTACTACCTGAGACAATTTAATTGGAACCTGTGTCTGGGGCTGTCCACTCTGGGACATTCGGAGGTTGACCTTCTAAGTTTTGTAGTGGAAAAGAACTGAAGGACGCCGCAGCTATTTCTTTGCAGTTGAGATTTAAACCTGATATTATGGTTTCTTAGGATAGGGTAATGGTTGGCTGATATCAAAACAGAGCTAGTTTGTGCTATCTCACCAAGTAGGTCCTCAGAGTCTCTGGCCAAAACTCTGAAAGGGGCCTTTGTAAGGTTGTAGGAGATAAGCCACAACTACAAAGCCTAGCACTTTGGTAAGGGGCTATATCTACTACCTGGGAACCCCAATTCAATCTCACCCTAATAGTTCTAATAACCAAATGGTGAATAACCAACAGAAGAATTCTGACAACATGAATAACCAGAGTAGATCAACCCCACCCGAGAAATGACAAAGGAGGTACAACTGAAGATGCCATGCATAGACAAATGGCAGCAATGTCAGAAATTGAATTCCAGGCTCGGCACCTGTGGCTCAAGTGGCTAAGGCGCCAGGCCACATACGTTCGAATCCAGCCCAGGCTCTCCAAACAACAATGATGGCTGCAACCAAAAAAAAAAAAAAA